AAGATGGATTCTTCAGGTATGGATGAGAAGCCAATAATTCCAAGTGTTGTATTATGTTTGTAAACTGGCAAATTTGCACCCTAGAAACACTTAATTTAAAGGTCAATATCCTCAAAAGATGATAACTTCTATCTTCTGTGCAGTATATACCGGTTTTGTAAGTTTGAAACCGATCGGATGAGGTGTTCTCGAGTTATAAAGGAAAATCTTGAAGGAAGGATTAAACATTTGTCAGCCGGGACCTGATGAAGAACCATCCATCCATCCATCCATCTATCTACCTACTCATGTTGTGCTTCCAACTTCTCATCTATCTCCCTTTGATATTCCTTTGATGAGTTCCGAGAGCTTTTCTACTCCCGGAGCCCGGCCATGGGCCAGGCCATACATTCATTCAACCCATCCATTTCCCATTTACCGATCCATCCATCAATCCATCCGTCATTCTATCTATTCACCAATCAAACCATCCATCCGCCATTCAATCTATCAATCCATTCACTCATCCATCCCTCCACTCAGACACAGCCTCCCGTATCTCTGGCCCACAACTCCGCACCTCCTGTCTGCTTCCTCACCTCTACACTAATTTCCTTGCTGTTGTCAGACTAAATAAACCGGCTTTGTTCTCCTTTCGTCTATCTTGCCAGTTTAGCATTTTCTTTCGCCTGCGCAGAATGCTAATTAACTTCTTCTCTGATACTTTGCTTGGGTTCTTCTCGTATTTATATGTCTTGATTTTTTTTTTTTTTGTACGTGTGTGTGGATTGTTCTTATCTGCCTTGGGAGGTGACTGGATGTTTGTGTAGGAGTTAATTCCAGGTGAAGTTTTTAATGTGAATTGGGTTCTGGAGAGTGTTGAGTAGGGTGTGTGTGTGTATGTGTACTCACCTATTTGTACTCACCTATTTGTGGTTGCAGGGGTCGAGTCATAGTGAGAGAGAGAGAGAGAGAAGAGAGAAGAGAGAGAGAGATGAGAGAGAGAGAGAGAGAGAGAGAGAGAGAGAGAGAGAGAGAGAGAGAGAGAGAGAGAGAGAGAGAGAGAGTGAGAGAGAAAGAATCTGTTTAATGATTCATGGTTGCTAGAATCTTGGACATACTACTTTTAGTTGGGTAATGATGTTAATGAAAGTAATATTTTTTAATGGAGAGTCTACCGATGTAGAGGGAATAAAACCAATAGCATAAACCTATTGTTATTATTATTATTATATCGAACCCGAGAGAGTGATATACAGCGTCTGGGGAAATGGGAGGGGGTGGGGGAGGTCGACAGGTTTGATTCGAGGAAAGTGAGAGTAGCTCCAATTTCTTAAACTCACTGGAGATGCTGTACTAGACTCGAGGATCCAGTTTTTCACTGGACCAAAGAACATATTTCTTCCTCCTCTACCTAGTGCAATATGACTTCTGTGGCGTTGGTTGCGCTATACTGTCTTACACTTGACATCCTGACCTTCCAGGCTGTTGTTGCTTGTGGTTGGCGGTCCGATTTGAAGATAAGGGGCACGTAAGTTTCCCAGTCTTCTAATAACCTGTTCATTTTCCACTATAATCTACCATGTCCTTACTATCGCATTTGTTTTGTTTGGTAAGGTGAAGTCCAGGATCTTTCCTTAATTCATGGTATAACTTAACAATCTTTGATGACAATTACGTTAGGAGAGGTCAGACCTCTCCTAACAATTAAGGAAAGATCATAGACTTCACCTTACGAAACAGACAAAACAAATGCGACAATAATTATGGACACGGTAGATTACAGTGGAAAAATGAACATGATTATTAGAAGACCGGGAAACGTAATGACGTACCCCTTAAACAACCCGCGATGGATACAATGGTATGTGATAGCCACAAGTCAAGACACAACAAAACGCAACCATGCAGACCTTGTTTAATGACAACGTTTCAGTCCTGGATCTTGGTCACTCCCAAGGTTACATGTCCTAAGTGATTGCATTTTCTGTCCTTTTCCTAAACATCACACAATATCAACTTTGTTTCCAGACAGCAGCTGCTGCCCGCATCACTCTCTCATCTCGGTCGTAATTAAGGAGGTCCAATTTGCTCATGCAGATCCCTTCTCACACTGCAGTGAGCAAATACGAATGCCACGTCTTTCTGTTCTCAGTGCCACGTCTTTCGGATTCCCAGTGCCAAGTTTTCCGTGTTCCCAGGGCCAAATCTTTCGTGTTCCCAGACTCATCTCTTTCGCGTTCTCAGAGCCACATCTTTCTGTTCCTATTACCAAGTCTTTCGTGTTCTCAGATCCAAGTCTTTCACATTTCCAGACCAACATCTTTCGTGTTCCTAGACCCATATCTTTCGTGTTTCCAGACCCACGTCTTTCGTATTCTCAGTGCGAAACATGATCATCTACATGATTACGCAAACTCTAAAAAAACGGCATTCTCTCATCTCTGTTTTTCCCCCCGCAGTATTTTTCTTCGCTATACAGCACGAGTGTGTTGCAATTATGCTCACTTTTCCACCAAGAAGATTCTTAAAATTGTTTGAGAAGATTTCATGTTCCTGCTAAAGCGCATTTCGACACTCGTTCCTATCCATGTGTCAGTTCATCTGTCAATGTATCAGTCTGTCTATCCATCCATCCACCCATCCTCTCCCTATCCATCCATCCACCCATCCTCTCCCTATCCATCCATCCACCCATCCTCTCCCTATCCATCCATCCACCCATCCTCTCCCTATCCATCCATCCACCCATCCTCTCCCTATCCATCCATCCACTCATCCATCCATTCAAGGTATGTTACCTACCTCCAAGATGCATTTCACAACAGTCAACTAGGTCAAAAAAAAGTTTATGGAGATTTACCCACTCTCTCGACCACCCCAAGATTGAAACCGGGTTTATAGGTTATGGGCCGAATGGATTAATACGGAGCTACGAGCCATTTCGACATTTTCTCTTAGTGGATGCGTTTAGGAAACGTGAATCAATACAAAAAACACGAATGTAAGAGTTATGGGTGTTTAAATGACATTCGACTGCATTGTGATGGTCCGGACGGGGGACAGGTGGGTCTTCGCCCCTCCCCCTTCCTTCCGTGGCTCCCTGGTGGGAGCAATTAACACAATCACATGAATTCCGGTTAGATTCCCCGCCACAGAGAAACATATGGGTCAATTAGCTCACACCCTTGCTGCCCCTGTCCACCTAGCAGTAAAAATAGGCACTTGTGTATTAATCGACTGTTGTGGGCAGCATCCAGATGAAAATGTATTAGAAAACTCCAGTACCTTCTGGAATGTCATATCCTGCTTAAGAAAACTCCAGTACCTTCTGGAATGTCATATCCTGCTTAAGAAAACTCCAGTACCTTCTGGAATGTCATATCCTGCTTAAGAAAACTCCAGTACCTTCTGGAATGTCATATCCTGCTTAAGAAAACTCCAGTACCTTCTGGAATGTCATATCCTGCTTAAGAAAACTCCAGTACCTTCTGGAATGTCATATCCTGCTTAAGAAAACTCCAGTACCTTCTGGAATGTCATATCTAACGCAAGACAACTCCAGTACCTGCTAGAATTTCATATCTATATCGTAAGACAACTCAAGTACCTTCTGGAATGTCATATATAACATAAGACAACTCCAGCATATGCTGGAATGTCATATCTATATCGTATGACAACGCCAGTACCTGCTGGAACTTTTTAAGTGGCGGATAAAAGGTATCAATGTTACTGATGATATCTTATCTTTTCTTATTTCTCTTTTCTCTTTCAACTTTCCTTATTACATATTCTACACAAAGTGCTAAAAGATTAAACAAGAACAAAAAAACTCATATTTGGAGTAAGATTAAAAATTATGCGAGAAAATAAATTAACAAATAGAATTTTGAGTATATGCTGCAATTTTAGGTCGATATTTATCTACTTGAGAGATGAACTAAGAGTTTCCGAGAGTTTAACTTACAATAGGCTTGCAACAGACAGTGACGGTAAGAGGTTACGTGAGGTAAGGTTCGTCAGGAAACAGGACAAGTGTTTCCTGACGCGGGTCTTAGATGATGACCCGCCGTTGGAGATTCTGGTCATCTGACCAAGGCCTTCCGCTGGCTTACCGGTCCACCCCTTTACAAATTATGGTGATAGTTATAAGCATTTAGTTGACGGTAAGAGTTCTGAACAAATGACATTGTACATATCATGTGCACTCTGATTGTCAAATTTAAGCAAAAGTGAGCCAAGATACGAAAATGGAAGCGCGCCAGCATACGCATGCACACACACACATACACACCACACACACACACACACACACACACACACACACACACACACACACACACACCGTGTATGTCAGGCCTATATTGGAGTATGCAGCACCAGTTAGGAACCCACACCTAGCCAAGTATATGAGGAAAGTGCAAAAGTTTGCAACAAGACTAGTACCGGAGCTAAGGGGCATGTCCTACGAGGAGAGGTTATGGGAAATCGACCTGACGATACTGGAGGACAGGAAAGATAAGAGGGATATGATAACGACATACAAAATACTGAGAGGAATTGACAAGGTGGAGAGAGACAGGATGCTCCAGAAATGGGACACAACAACAAGAAGTCACAATTGGAAGTTGAAGACTCATATGAATCACAGGGATGTTAGGAAGTATTTCTTCAGTCAGAGTTGTCAGGAAGTGGAACAGTCTGGGAAGCGATGTAGTGGAGGTAGGATCCATACATAGCTTTAAGAAGAGGTACGATAAAGCTCATGGAGCAGGAAGAGTGACTTAGTAGCGACCACTGAAGAGGCCGGGTCAGGTGCTGTGAATCGACCCCTGCAACCACAACTAGGTGAGTACACACACACACACACACACACCATATACTGTAGGTGAGCACACTCATGCACTCAAGGCGCAGACGAGTCTCTTAACGATCGGTAACACACACGCACACACACACACACACACACACACACACACACACAACACACACACACACACACACACAAGCGTACTCACCATTGAGTGCAGGTAACTTGGAGGCCTTGTTATGGTACCGTCTTATGTAGAGGAGGACCACCAGAACCAATAGCAGGAAGAACATGGCCCCGCCCACCAACACAATGAACCACGCCTCCCTCACCACGCCCTCTGACCCTGCGTGACGATTGGCTAACGGGTTCAACAAAGCAGGGTCAGTCTGGAGCCTTATTGGTTCAGACGAAGGCCCCTCTCCCATCTTGGAGAGCGCTGATAGGCTGACGGAGTAAACATATCCCGGGATGAGGGGTGCCAACTGGTAGGAGTAGGTGGAGGAGTTGACGGTACGGTTGAGGAAGAGGGAACTCCCGTTAACGAAAGCAAGAATCTGGAAAGAAAACAAAGATTTGTTATTAAAAACACAAATAAGAATCTGAAAAGAAAGAAGTCTTGTCAAGAACACGAATCCATCAATGAAAACCGCTGACACTTTATATATTTCTTAAATAAAACAACGAGACTTTTGCAACAACAAAAAGGCAGCACCTCAAACCTCATAACAGTACCAAAATAACTGTCATTTATACAAATAATCCGCACAAAGGGGGAAAGAAACTTATAACAACGTTTCGGTCCGACTTGGACTATTAACTAGTCTATAACTAGTTAATGGTCAAAATTGGACCGAAACGTTGTCATAAGTTTCTTTCTTCTATGTTGGGGTTATTGTGTATTGTTCCAGTCACGGTATTGTGACTTCTTACTCTTAATTTTAAAAGAGTTCTTGCTAATTGACCAGTTTTACATCGGCACGACATATATATATATATATATATATATATATATATATATATATATATAATCCCAGCGGTCCAAAGTCAGTTTAGTAAGACGCTCTTGCGCGTCATTTTCTGTGTAACTGAAACATGCAAAATTAAATATGACCTTGAGGGAGATAAAAATAGAATTTCTGCTGAAGCTTTTGAGCGAAGGAGAGCTCATTCTGGGTTTCAACTTGTGCCTCTGACAGAATATAGTACAGAAAGTACTAGTTTCGAATTTTCCCTATTAGCAGCTCGGTAGCCGAGTAGGTAGAGCGACAAACCTGACAATTTTGGGACCAGGGTTCGAGCCTCCCGTCCATTTCTCTCTTTATTCACTGACAGTCGTTTATTTTATGACTTAATTTGAGTTCATGTTAGACTAAGCACATATACCCGCGAGGGTTATATGATTGCAATCCGCGTCATCAAGACACACACACACACACACACACACACACCTGGCAAACCTAAGAACAGCATTCCGATACCTTAGCAAGGAATCGTTCAAGACACTGTACACCGTGTACGTCAGGCCCATACTGGAGTATGCAGCACCTGTTTGGAACCCACACTTGATCAAGCATGTCAAGAAATTAGAGAAAGTGCAAAGGTTTGCGACAAGGTTAGTTCCAGAGCGAAGGGGAATGTCCTATGAAGAAAGATTGAGGGAAATCGGCCTGACGACACTGGAGGACAGGAGGGTCAGGGGAGACATGATAACAACATACAAAATAGTGCGTGGAATAGACAAGGTGGACAGAGACAGGATGTTCCAGAGAGGGGACACAGAAACAAAGGGTAACATTTGGAAGTTGAAGACCCAGATGAGTCAGAGGGATGTTAGGAAGTATTTCTTCAGTCATAGAGTAGTCAGGAAGTGGAATAGCCTAGCACGTGAGATAGTGGAGGCAGGAACCACACATTGCTTTAAGATGAGGTATGATAAAGCTCATGGAGCAGGGAAAGAGAGAACCTAGTAGCACTCAGTGTAGAGGCGGGGCCAGGAGTCTCGACCCCTGCAACCACAAATAGGTGAGTACAATTAGGTAAGTACACACACACACACACACACACACACACACACACACACACACACACACACACACACACACACACACACACACACACACACACACACACACACATACATACACACACACACACACACACACACACACACACACACACACCGTGTACGTTAGGCCCATATTGGAGTATGCGTCACCAGTTTGGAACCCACACATTGCCAAGCACGTAAAGAAACTAGAGAAAGTGCAAAGGTTTGCAACAAGACTAGTCCCAGAGCTAAGAGGTATGTCCTACGAGGAGAGGTTAAGGGAAATCAACCTGACGACACTGGAGGACAGGAGAGATAGGGGGGACATGATAACGACATACAAAATACTGAGAGGAATTGACAAGGTGGACAAAGACAGGATGTTCCAGAGATGGGACACAGCAACAAGGGGACACAGTTCAAAGTTAAAGACACAGATGAATCACAGGGATATTAGGAAGTATTTCTTCAGCCAAAGAGTAGTCAGGAAGTGGAATAGTTTGGGAAGCGATGTAGTGGAGGCAGGATCCATACATAGCTTTAAGCAGAGGTATGATAAAGCTGAAGGTTTAGGGAGAGTGACCTAGTAGCGACCAGTGAAGAGGCGGGGCCAGGAGCTTGGACTCGACCCCTGCAACCTCAACTAGGTGAGTACAACTAGGTGAGTACACACACACACTGGTGAAGAACGAGCTTCTGTTTGGGGAAATGTTTCCCATCAATGTAGAGTTTTTTCAAGATCATCTGTTGATAAATTGGTTGATCAGGCCCTGATCCACCGGAGATCTGGTCAAGGACCGGGCCACGGGAGCGTTGACCCCCGGTACACCCTCCGGGTACACCCGTGGTAGTTAAAGCTTGACACAAAACGAAACGTGTCATTAACAGCTGATTCTGCGACACGTGGCTTTGTCTTCATACATACAAGATTAATCTGTAGTCAGTTCCAGGGGTCACCGCCCCAGCGGCCCGGTCCCAGACCAGGTCTCTTGGCTGGTGATAATTTCATCTTAGACCCCGTCAGCTACTTTTCTATGACGAATAAATATCAACAATAACCACATTACATAAACAGCAACACAGAGAGTGATGTTGCCGGAGAGGGATACATCGTGACTAATTCGCTGACATGATGCTCGTTATATACGGCATGAGGACATGCTAGCGAGCTAGAAGTGGCTGTTAGAACTAGAGCGCTCAACATTCTGAACAAGTCCGGAGTGACCCCATTAGAACCGAGTCTATTGCTAGAGTTGCAATTGAAATTCTCTCATGTCCGTACCTTTGTTAAACTTCTGGCCGTGCCTATAGTAGATTTCGAGACTTTTCTAACAGGCCTAAGGCCTGACTTCTTCGCTGACTGAATGATCAATCAGGCTGGCGTCGCACAGGCATTGTTTGCAACACAAATGATACTGTCTCCTGCTACCTGCCTCACCCCATCCTTGCAACTCATCAATAAGGTATCTTGTTCCTTACATGACCAATTCATCTCAACAATCTTTTCAACTTTTTTAAATTACACATGTCAAGTTATTTATTCATTGCTTGCATAAATTCACACGACACACTCATCTCAGACATGACATCTTCCACTGCCTCCTCTTGGCTGAAATATTCAGATTCAGGGGTCAGGCCTCACATAACTATACTGATATACGTTATAGTATACATTTGATTTTTTTTTATTTTTTACAGATTCAGCAATACACTTTCTCTCTGAGGGCCATGCCAGGTAGACTTTCGCAACACACACCACACACACACCCAACACACACCACACAACACACACACACACACACACAAACACCAACACATCGCACACACACACACACACAGACGGCAGAAATTGGTATGTTCCCTGTGACAGGTTATTATCTCGGCGATGAAGTGCTCCACTCCCCTCCTCTCATCCTCCAAGTTCTCATCTCATCTCTTCACAGGATTTTTATCTTGAAATGTTCCTTGTTTTATTTTCTCTTGCTCTTTATGTCTCAATGATGAAAATTTCACAGTTTCTTTTTTTTTCATTAATTTTAATTCGCTAAAAATCTTTAACTTCTAGCTAAAAAAATCTGGCTTTCCATTTTTTAAATATTATAAAAAAAAACCTATTCCTCTTACTGTACAGAGGTCAGTATCCCAGTAATCTGAATTATCTTTAAAATCTGCCAATATATATATTTTTTCATCCCAGCTCAGACGCCGCTGGAGGGACATCTGAGCTATAATGTCGGCGCGGCTCTGGCAAGACTGTGATAGAGTGATGGTGAAGTGTTTCTTCTTTTTTGGGTCGTCCTACCCTGGTGGGAGACGACCGATATGTTAAGAAAAGGGTCTCCTATACATTCATTCACTCACACACACACTCACACACACACACACACACACACACACACACACACACACACACACACACACACACACACACACACACACACACACACACACACATAAATGAAAATTTAATAATTTTCTCGAGTGGTTTAATATCTGAATATAGTGAATATCCTTCTGGAAGCCTGGTGCGTGTGTAGCACCAATTAACGGAGGATCGAACCTCCACCTCTCCATGCACTGAATGACCCACACGGCTTCAGCGATTTGTATAATAACGATGATCATAACTGTGATGACGGTGACAAAAATTAATGATAATCCTAATAATCCATCAGTTCTTTATGTGTCAAAAGAACTATGTAAACAAAAAATCTGATCAAAGACCAATATTAAATATTAACGAAAAAATGACTTTCGAAAAAAAAAAAAAAAGATTTGGCATAAAAAAAAAATCGACTTTTTTTTTCATTTCGGTTTATTTCTCAAAATATCGGGAATATGAAGAAGAAATTCCGAAATGAGTTTCATGATGATCCCCAGTGATGAACTTCACTCTCCCAATTTACAAGTCCTCCAACCCAGGAGAACTCAACCATTAGTAATCCTTAGAACTCACCCATTAAAAATCCACAGAAGTATCGACATACTTAAAAATCAACAAAAGACCTTGAACTCACTCATGAAACCGCCCCCCCTCAAAAAAAAAAAAAAAAAAAAAATCCATACATACCACCTGTTAAAGATCCAAGGAAAAGACCATCGATTAAACCCTCACAGAACCCATCCATTAAATAAACCTGAGTCCACCCATTAAAAACCAATATAAAACCCTCACAGAACCCATTCATTAAAATAAACCACAGAGTCCACCCTTTAAAACCCAATATAAGTCGCCCATTAAAAACCCACAGAACACTTTTGGTTAAAATCTGCATTCAGTGAACAAGGCGAATACAATTTCGTAGTGCAGCTGTCTTGCACTTAGTGGACAGCGGATCGAGCCTCCGATACTCTTTGCGTTAAATGACACACACGAATTTAGAGCACTGAAAAAATACTAGGCAGCCAGTAATCACGGATAAAAAGTCAACCTCATCAAACTTGCAGGTAATTCTTCACGCTTGACGGAACTCAGCATCAAAGACGTACGGGAGATGAGGAAGGAGG